ACAAGCAGCCTATCGGCTGAGATAGCTCCGCTGTAAGAAATGCACATTTCAATTAAAGAACTGAAGACATCATCAGAAAATGAACAATATGTATAGTATCAAAGCAATCGGACTTACAGTTTTTAACAAGAAGTCGAAAATATCACTTTTTACCAAAAATTACAAAAATATTCACGAAAATTAGAGAATTGAAAGATATCATTACAAAAATGATCAAATTTTGAGAGAGGTTCCACATGTAGTAACCTATATATGTAGTATCAAAGCAATTGCACTTGCGGTTTTTAACAAGAAGTCAAAAATATCACTTTTTACCAAAAATGACAAAAATATTCACCAAAATTAGAGAATTGAAGATATCAACATGAAATGACAAACCTAAGAGAGGTCTACCCAAGGTACATATACACCAAGTATCAAAGCATTCAGGCTTGTAGTTTTCAAGAAGAAGTCGAAAAAGTAAAACATTGACACGGACGACGACGAGGGACGACGATGACGGACAATCACTCATATGATACGCTCCACTCGACAAAGTCGACAGCGGAGCTAAAAAAGCCCATCCTGGTACTTCTGGGGTACAAACCACTATGAATGTGAAAGTGGTTCATGTAAGTAAATTGATACAATATTTTATAAATTACTGTTGTTACAGTGCATGCACCTGAAATACCAGGATGTGTGACCTTTAGAGGTCATGAATTAGAGTTATTAAAGAGGAACCGATACTACCGTGCAAGTAGGGACAAGATGGCCACCGCAATTAGTATTCTAATTCGAACCAAGCGGTTCCCCTTTAAAGGAAATACCGTAATGCATGCAGACAGAAGGTGGAATTCTAGAATACCATAACAAAAACACAAAACCTCACCAAACTTAAAACAAGCAGCCTGTCGGCTGAGATAGCTCCGCTGTTAGCAATGCACATGGCAATTAAAGAACAGAAGATATCATTAGAAAATGAACAAATTTGAGAGAGGTCCACATGTAGTACCTATATGTATAATATATCAAAGCAA